GTCTGTTGGCTAACTAGCTCGGATGCTTGTGTGTGTGCGAGTGCGTGCGCGTGTGTGATTACCTCCCGCAGGTCGCACTGCACATGACCCAATGACACAGTCCTAGAGCGCCGCGCGCCGCCGGCCCGGCCAGCTGTGTTTGCCGAGCGGCTCAGTTCGGGTTATCCGTCTCTTGTACGTATTCGCACCGTTCGACGGTGTGTGTTGGATAAACGGATATTGTCACTAGCAACTCAAAGGTCATATTTGGCACCCACTTTACCAGAACGCCTTTGGCGTATCTTTGATAAAAGCATCAAAACTATGTAGGCTTTTGTCGAACATCATTCGCTTGCCACCCAATTCGATGTGTTGCGCCTAGTTGACTTCTTGGGAGTTTGATTCAAATTAATAAATTCAAAATAAAAATTTAACTGTTTTAAAATGAATTATTAATCAACGGTTTCAACCTGTTGTTAATTTGTTGGTTTTTGGTACAGTGTGATGAATTTTCTAAATTGCAGTGGTGCAATACTGTTGACACCCGGCAGTTCACCTGCGACCTTTCAGCCCGCTATGCCCCTCGTGTCGTGCAGGCGGGCCGGGCTGAGGGGGGGGGGCTCCCCACTGCGACGGCGTAACCGGCGGCGGCGGGGCGGCGGCGGCCCGCCGTGGGTGTCCTGCAGTTTGGGGGTCCGTCGTATCAAGTTTCGGCTCGGCTCTTTCCTTCACTTTGGCGGATCACTTTTGTTTCTTGCGAGCGCACCGCCGCCGCCCGCCGCCCGCCGCCGGAGAGCTGAAGCCCCACAATTGTCTTTCTCTGCTGAGGCATAAACGAATTTGGGCGACGCGCGCGTGCCCGGCGCGTCCAAGAGACAGGCGTGCAAAGGAACCGCCCCTTTCAAACGGAGTATGACGACCGCGACCGTGAAGATGGTTTTGCCACAAGTTTGGCACCACACTGATATAGACTAAGTGTGCAACGGCTCAACTCTTGTAGGTGTGGAACTGCATGTTAAATACTTGCAAGTGTTCAACTCGGTAGGTGTGCACTTGCAAAGTGTTCATAACTTCTTGGTTAACACGTTCCCTGCGGCAGCGGCATGACAATGACAAGTATCCATGTTAAACCATAGGGACCAAAGATGAGCCGCAGGGAACGTGTTAAAAACGTCTTTAGATTGAACGCTTTCTGTGCAGGGAGTGCTCAACCGAAGAGTGGCACTGGCAAGTGCAAACCTACCGAGTTGAACACTTGCAAGTGTTCAAGTTGCAGTTTCACACTTGCAAGTATGTAACATGCAGTCGCACACTAAGTTTACCAGTGCATTTAGAATTCTGCGTGTATAGTATGCAGCCCGGCTCGAGTCTACGTGACGCTCTGTGTCCGGCCGGCCCAGGGAGCGGGGCTGTTCAACTCACCTGCTGACCCGCTACACGGCGGAGCGCTGCGCGGTGGCGTGGCGTGGCGTGGCGTGGCGTGGCGTGGAGGTGGTAGATGGATGGATAGATTGGGCCATTTAGGTACCCCGTGCTGTGTACCATTTCAGCCCGTTGTTGCTGCCGTGCCACGACAAATGGGCGTATCTCGGCGCTGTGATGCAGCGGCGGCCCAGGCGGCCCAGGCGGCCCAGGCCAGGCGGCCCAGGCCGAGTCGTGCCGCTCGGGCTGCGTGCCTCGAGGTGGCCAATCACAGCCTAATACAGGGCGGCGCCTGGCGATGCCTTGCGACGGCGGCGGGGCGCAGCGCCAAGCCCCGCGCCAGCTCGTCACCTCGGTCCATCACCCGGCCCCCCTCC